TGGGAGTACTTTGATGGATGTTCCCACATGGCGGGGGGTTGGACTGGACGGCCTCAGTGGTCTCTTCCAATTCTATGACTCTATGGTAGAAATAGTCCAAGAAGATCCCTGGACGGGGGAGTGGATAGAGTTCAGAGTTCCTAGGGAGTACACTGAAAGGGAATGGAAAAGACAAAAGTATAAGAAGCCACCTTATTGGGGGGAGACAGAAGAAAGGAAACAAAGAAAGACATATAAAGCCTGGCAACAAGGAGAGGCCCAGATACGAGAGCAAAGGAAATGTATGGAGAACCCTGGGAGATCCCATGGGGCCAATCCCTTCGGACAGAGATGGCAATAACACCCGGGCAAAAAGATTTGGGAGCCACAGGTGGGCTGGGTTTACCACCCTCAGCAATAATGTTAATGGACCATGCACATGGAACCAAAGAGTTACACGTTCTTCACCCCTATCGTTCAAAGGGGATTTAACGCATTTTGAAAAGGCTAAAACTTTTGACTTACTGTTGAAATCAGAACCAGAAAATATGCATATAAATGAAGCAGAAGATTTGTTAAAACAATAAACCATTTTTACTTGAGGACTTTGGTATACAGCAACCTTCTTTGAGTCGAAAAGTGGTGAAAGAGGTAAAGGACACTGAATGGGATCACAGGTGTGCGGCCAACATTTATTGTATGGCTACTGAGGGGCTTTCTTATTGAAAGGTTTGTGCAAGAATCCTTTTATTATCAGGTAGTGCTTCAATCAGGGTGGACATGCTGTCCCATAAGAAGCGTTGGTAGACGCCCATAGCCCCTTGATAGTTAGTGACTCCCATGGTAAAGGCAACCAAGCCATCAGCTCATTGAGTCTATGTCCTTGTTAGGTGGAATCAGGTTTTGTCGATGTTGAGAGCGAGATTGAGAAGCCTTGACAAAGATGGAGTTAGGAGTGGGCTGTTTCTGTAGAAAAACAGCATCAGGATCATGAACGCGAGGTTGTCAATACGCCAGGAGATAGTATGTGATGAGGCCAGCTTAATCCAAATACATTTAGCTTTGCTAAGAAGAGATGGAAGCATAGAGATGTGGACTGGTGTGGTAGTGTCCTTAGAAATCGGATCATAAAAGTGATCTGATGGTGGGTCTATGAATCTGGAGCTTGAGAAACTTAGCCATATGAACCATTAACTGGGCATAAATCTGGAAGTCCTCAGCTGGAGACGGTGGGTCAGGATCTGCCAGGTCTGAGTCTGGTGACATTAAGAGCACCGATGGCGTTTGGGGCCTCAAGCCTTTGTTGGAAGGATCGGCACCATCCGGTGAATCCATCAACTGTTGATCAACATCAGTGTCATAAGGCTGTTCACCTTGATAATGTGAGTGTGAGGGCAGTCAATGTCAAGTTGTTATCCACGATAAGAAGCTGATATTGAGGATCCTCAACATCAACAAAGTTGGCAAGGAGGTGGGCTCAATATGGAGTTTGTGGAGCGTGCTGTTGATGAGGCTGCCGAGTTGGTAACAGCACAGATGGACCACACTGGATTACTGTAGAGTAGATGGATGCTGGTGATGCCGAGCAGGACAAACGGTCGAAGTTGTCCAGCTGTAAAGGGAAGTAATAACTTACTGGTGCTGAGAAAGTAGTTGTGGCTGAGGAATATTTTTTGGCGCCAATTGATATGCGGTGTCAGTTGAGTCTGGATAATGCTGGTGGTGTGATTGCTTCAACACCAAAGGTTCCATTCTAGGAACAAAACGCTCGGATGCCACTGATGGGCCGGGAAACATGGCCGGCTGATAGTAGTTGGCAGGCATCTCGGCAGGGCACTGATCAGGACAAAAGGCTTCCCGATGATGAGGCTGATGGTAAGTGGTGTCCACGAAAGAAGGCAAGCAGACGTTCTGGTAAGGTTGGTGCATATGTTTGTGCACCAGAGGCCAAGGCAGTAGGCTCACAGGGGCAGGATAAGGCATGGTATCAAGTTGTGCAGCAGCATCATGGGTGAGTGAAACAGCCTCAGAGGACTGAGGGATCCAATGCTGACGAGGTCCTCAGACTCAGGAGGTAGCTGAGAAGTTGGTGTTGATATAGCCTTGGAGGGCTTTGATTTCGAGTACTTGGATTTTTTCAGTGAACAAGGTTCAGCCACTGAAGGCTGGTCATTCAACACCTTCCATTTGGTGACTAGAGGCTTCGATGTCGAGGCAGTAGACATTGAATGCTTGGTCTTGTGAGGCCAAAAGGAGAGATAAGGCAGGAGATAAGGCCGAAGTAGACGTCAAAGGGGCCTCTTGTTTTTCGGAACAGGAGGTAGTGGCTGATGGAGGTCGTTTTACTGCTTCAGAAATGGCCTTGTCCGTAGCTCTGGCGTGAGGCATGGATTTGCACATTGGTTGTGCCATAGGTTTGCCTGGCTGGAGGGATTGTTCCCAAAGTCGAAGGTTAAGCCTTGAAAGGCAACTGTGTAGCATCCCACACCTGAAGTTCTTACAGTGGGGGCACGAAAAGGTTTGTTGAGCCTCTCCAAGACAAAATAGGCACTTAATGTGACTGTGGAAAATCTTATTATTGCAGACCATGCAACGTTTAAACTAGCCTGACGAGACCATAAACTGAAGACAGGGAGTGGGAAGCAGGGACCTTCAGCCCAAGGCAAATACAGCGGTGCCTCGTATAATGAGTGCCCCGTTTAACGACGAATCCGCATAGCAATGCGGATTTTGCGATCGCAAAAGCGATCACATTGTGATGTTTCCTATGGGGAAAAAATCGCTTTGCGATTTTTCCCAGTAAGCGAGGCGCAAAAACGCTACGGGCGGCCATTTCCCCCCAGCTGGGAGGCGGCCATTTCCCCGGAGCACAGGCTTCAGAGTGACCTCCGGGGAAGCGTCCACCGCGGGCGCTCGGAAGCCAGCACCGCCCAGCTGGGGGAAAAAGGCCGCCCGCAGCATTTTCACGCCTCGCTTACCGAGGCGGCGAAAATGGCGGCCGGATGGGGAATTCTTCGTTTACCAGTGAGTTTTTCCCCAATAGGAATGCATTAAACTGAGTTTAATACGTTCCTATGGGTTCCCCCCCGCACAGCGAATAATCCGGATAGCGACGTTAATCCTGGAATGGATTAACGTCGCTATGCGGGGCACCACTGTAGTGGTTAAGGAATTTCTGTGCATTCACAGAGACCACCAAGAAGAATAAGTATGTAAAGGGTTTTCTTTTCTTTTCAGGAAACAGACTCACAGAAGCTATAAGCAAGGCTCTCAACACAGCAGTTGAAGAGAAACTGAAGAGAGAGCCTTGGCACGCATGTACATATATTAGGAGGGAGGGGCTTGTATTATTGTATCTTTTCTGGTATCAGAAGCTCTAGAATATTCTGATGAGGCTCCAAGCACGTGTGGATCACCCAGAGTGTGATTCAGAGGCCACAAAGAAGAACCTGTTTTTCCAGATACAGAAAATTCTCCAATAGATTTGGTGAGAGAAACCACTTTCTTGTCATCAAGAGGAGTTGAACTCATGGTATAAGGAACATGTTTTATCACTAGCAGGCATTTACTGTAGATTCCATCAGAATTACCATTCAAAAGAAATATATCAACCTTTTTGCTTGCAGGAAGATTGAAGTGGGTAATCTGAGGAGGACTGAGAATAATTTCTTAGAATTACCAATAGTCTAGTCACACTCTGAAGGGATAGAGATAAAATGGATAATTTGTGTATTTATGTTTTATTATTTTTAAAAAATTAAAAATAACAGATGAACTCCCTAAAGGGAGACATCAGCTTGAGTTTGCAAAAACTGAGCAGGGCACAGTTGAGGACACATCATTTTGAAGACTGCTCATTTCATCACCATGAACTGGAGGCAATTTGATGGCACTTAACAATAACATGTATTCTAAAGGTTGCCAAAACTGATTTCCATTAAAAAAAACTGATTTAACAAAAAAGGTGTGTTTTTAACTGAAAAGAACAGAAGAGTAGCTCCTTTCCATCTCCCCCTTCTAAAGCAGTACCTAAGTAGAATGCACATAGCAAAATAGCAAATTGCTAAATAAAAGCTTTGGTGAGATATATACTTCATCTAAATAGCCGCCTAGAGTGGTCGAAATGACTAGATAGGCGGGGTATAAATACAATAAATAAAATAAAAACAGTATTTGGAACTAGATTCACTACCCAAACTAGTTGTTTAGCTGGATTCTAATTAAGTTAGCAATGCCTTGTAGAAGTGTTTAAAAATGGTTAATTATTACATGTTTACAATTAGGGTTAGTCTTTGCAGAATGCTTAAACCTGAATATCTTATCAGAAAATTCAGATGTAAAATAAGTTAGATTCCTCAGAAACCACCTGGAATCCTCCCACCCATTGAGCACATACCATTTCAGAATAGTCTGAAGGGGTTACAGCAGAATCTGGACCTTCTGTAGTTGTCTGAGAGCTGTCACTAATAGGAGAAGATGCCCGAGTGACACTGTTCAAGTCTACTGCAGGGTCTGATTGGACAGCACTGATTTGGCTGGAGCTTCTGCTTAGAACATCATCGTCATCAGTATCCCCTTTGTTAGCTGAACTTGTTAAATCACAGCTTGTCAGGTCTGACTCTGATTGCAATGTGTGTTGAGAACGTGGCTGCTCGGTTATGATGTCACATCCTGAGGAATCAGTTACTGAACTTGTAGCTGTTGAAATTACTGACGAAGAAGCTAATTCACCAGTTAACTCACTTGTTACAGATGCTAAAATGAAACAGGAGAAACTCATAAGAATCCAAAAATACATGTAAATGTCAGATGAGGTTATGGTAATTTACAAATCTTAGTCACTTACTAGTAGGAACATACTGCCACCCGCAGCCTCTTCTAAACATCATTTGACCAACGTCTCAGTTGGTTACTTATACCTGAATCATATCCTATGACATATCATAAAACATGACATACAACAGGAGTCTATATATTTTATGCTACTGGGCACATGTAGAATTTTAAGAAAGCGTCCATAGCTATTGTCACAAAATGCCTGCCATGGGAAAGGGGGTCTACAAGCTACAACTAAATTCTACCATTCCTACTGTTTTATTTCATCATCTGTGAAAACAGCATTGTTGGACTTAACACCCTCCTAGGAAAGAAGAACAGTCACAGTACTTCAGCATAAGACAGAGACCCTAACTGTCCAAAGAAAAGGCTGTCACTCCAACAACGGAAAATGAAAATAAAGACAACATGTTTCAAAAGTGCTTGATTTAACCTAGGCCAACATGCTCTTCCATAACTTATACCTGCGTAAGGGTGATGCCATTACAGGGGTGGGGGGGAGGTGTTCAGTAAGTAAAGGACTTCACACTTCTATCCCACATCTTGACTGTCTCACATGTAGTCAGTCCCACTGCACATGAGGCATTGGAGTCTTCTGCTCGATAAAGTTCGGGGGGAAAATCTGGTAATTAAAAGTGTTAGTCCTTCCACCCACGGGCCCCCTAGCTTGCACATAATGAGAATGATTATATGCAAGTTGGATGAGGTGCAGAACAAAAGTAGGAAGTCTTACTGAAAATTTGCCCCAACTAAAATGTCATCACCCTTCTGCAGGAATAACTTATGCAAGATAATTTTGGCCATTTCTTGTTTTCATCTTCTTTCACTGTGTTTATTAAATTGAAGCATTCCTTCTGAACTGTGACTTCCCTGGAGTACCCTGGCAAAATCAAAAAGCTCTCTACATACTACCTTAGCATAGGGAAGACCAAAAGGCATAATGTAACTCCAGATATCAATAGGAGGATGAAACTCTACAATAACTTAAAAAATCCCCACATTGGTGACATCACCACTCTCACAGAGACGTAATTTACGGAACAGAGTCTTGGCCAGGGTATCATAGTAGAAATCAATGTGAAAACAAATCACTGGCATAAAGAGAATGTGATAATACAGTGGTGCCTCGCACAGCGAGGTTAATCCGCTCCGGATTAACCCTCGCTGTGTGAAAGCATCGCTGTACGGGAAGGAAAAAGCCATTGGAATGCATTAAACTTAGTTTAATGCGTTCCAATAGCAGCTTTACTCACCATACAGCGATGCTTTTCCAATGGCCGGCAGCCATTTTCACGCCCTCCCCTCGCTTAACGAGGGCGCAAAAACGCTGCGCGTGGCCATTTTGGGGCTTCCGGCAGCCATTTTGGACCCGCCGAACAGCTGATCGGCGCGTCGAAAAGCGAAGGTCGGTAAGCGAAACGCTTACCAACCTTCGTTGTGCGATTTTCGGCCATAGAGGCCATTGCTCTGCGATCGCATTAGCGATCGAAAAAACGTCCTTGTAGAGCAAATTCATCGCTCTACGGGGTGCTTGTTGTGCGAGGCACCACTGTACACTGTGGGACTCTGATTTTCAAAGCTACTGGCTGAAATTCTGTTGTGAAGCATGTAAAACATGAAATTCTGTTGTGGAGAATGTGATATTCTGTTGTGCACATTCACAATGTAAATGATGTCTGCAGCAGCAAATCACTGCCGATTAAAGGCTTCCTCTGGTGAGTTCAATGTTCACATAACTCATAGACAGTTTAACAGAGTCATGTGCACCCCGAAGTTGCCAAAGAAAGCCTTTAATCAATAGCAATGTGCCCCTGTTAATTATAGGATTCCTACTATGTATGTAGAGTTGTGCAACAGGATTTCAATCAGTGAGTTTTCCCTTTAAAAAGATACAAGTCTATGAACAGCATAAACATTTATCTTTCACCTAACTGTCAACTGCAGTCTTTCTATAAGCATTTGTTTTAACATCCTTAGTTGTAAAGATTTTTTTCACCTATAGCATTAGTTTTTCTAATAGACACTGGCTAAAATTATGTTACTTAGCATAATAAGGTGCACTGGAGCAGACTAACTGAATCAATGGAGATTTGGTGAGTCAACTCTTTAGGTTCACTGATTCAAATTAGTCTGCTCTAATTACAACTTACTTTAGTGCACTGGTTCTTAACCTTGGGTTACTCAGGAGTTTTGAACTGCAACTCCCAGAAGCCTTCACCACCAGCTGTCCTGACTGGGGTTTCTGGGAGTCGCAGTTCAAAAGCATCCGAGTAACAAAGGTTAAGAACCACTGATTTAGTGTAATAAATCACAAATACAGTAGGCCCACATGAATTAATGGAACTTACAGAAGGGCTGACTCACTAAATCCCCATTGATTAAATAGGTCTACTCTAGTGCAACATACTATGCAAAGCAACAGGATTTCAGCCACTCTTGTCTTGCCTGATGAAAAATGGTAACAGTGAACATACAATCAAATACAAACAAGAAGCAACTCTACCTGCAAAACTTGTGTTGCTGACTTCAGATCTTGTTTCAGAGTCATCTTCTAAACCTTCTTCTTCCCCAAGAAAAATTTTAGCTGATAACCAATACAGGAACTTCTTTAGAATTTCCACTATTAGTAGATCATCACATAGAACTTATCTATACTTATGAACCTTTTGTTTTAATAGTATTTATAATGCTCAAATTACATACATAGGTGAGGAAATAAAACATATACAGAAATGAAGTACAATGAGATTTCAAGGGATACCAAGAAATGGACAAACTAGATGGATAGTGGAAGTAACATTAGAAAGGTTAGTAAAAAGTGTTGCTTTATCAAAAGTTTATCGAAATTTATTATCATGGAATACATCAAACATTACAACTTGCAATATTCAAGACTTATACCAATTCCATCTGCCTGTGTTGTCAAGTTTCTTCATGTACTAATCTAGATCAGAACTCTAACACACAATATTAAAATTATTCCTTTTTGTCTTGTCAAAAAAGATGATGACTTATCCTTTGTAGATGCTTGAGATACAAGAAGGAGTAAGGAGAAATTTTGTAACCTCAATAATGGTTATGGTAGCATGTTCCTGTGACCATACAAAGGATTAAAATGAGTAGCACATTTAGCTTCCAGCACATAAAACAGCTGGAATATCCTTTATATTTTCAATAATTTATTATAAATATATATCTAGGACTGTCTTCTGAAAACAGGAGTAAGTCTATCTAAAATGTTAAAACACAGCAAGAACATTATACTCTTGTATTTAGAGGAATTTATTTGAGTTTAATTATCTCTGTCTAATAAACCACTAGGTAAAGGTAATGGTTCTCCTTGACAAATTGTCCAGTCGTGTTCGACTCTAGGGGGTGGTGCTCATCCCTGTTTCCAAGCCATAGAACCAGCGTTTGTCCGAAGACAGTTTCCGTGGTCACGTGGCCAGCGCAACTAGACACGGAACACCGTTACCTTCCTGTGATGAGATGGGTTTTTGAGTTAAAATCTTTTAAGGCATATGGGTATTGTAATTAAGAAATGAGCCAGAGAGGTTCCATCTTGATTCTTTGTATAAAGTATCTTTGCTATGCTGACAGGTTGTTTTCTAGGTGAGCAGAGAGAATGTTATTCTGATAGCCTGAGAAAAGGACTCGGTGTGATTAGATGGGAATTGTTGTGACTCTTTGATAAACTACAGTAACCCAAATAACATCTGGAGTGTATGGGAAAGAAGTCATGTGGTGCAACAGGACTGTTTGCCTAGTAACGAACTCTGATTGGATGACATCGTGGGAAGGTGCGATAAGCCCTTGCCAGTTACTCTTGAAAAAGGAACTTTTTGCCTATGGACATTGTCTTTCAAGACCGATCCTTCAGTCATTCAAGACCGACTCTTCCTTCATTCGTGACACATGGGATTATCCTTTACTATACTGGATTACTTATGGATTTATGGGATTTTTCCTAAGGACTATGCATGGACTATTT